GATGTTGTAGTGTCTATCTTGTATCAAACTATTATTACTTTGTGTTTAAATTTTTTTATACATGAAAATTTGACAAAACAAAACACGACATATTATATTTAATTGTGTTTAATATTCATTTGGTTAAATCCGTGTGAATTATTCTATTTGTGAATAACAATATCTAAAATGAAAATATATATTATGGATAATATTGTATGGTTTGATTTTGGTTTCTTTTATTCGAATAGATTTTAGATGAATATTTTTTTTGTTAGATGTAATATTGAATTTGGACAGTTAGATTAAACACTTTTCTAATTTTACGTAAATTATAAAAATATTCACTTTGATATTCTATCATTTTCTTATATTTGCTTAAAGTATTATATAATATATTAGAATGTCAATTAATTAGTTGTATAAAATTCGCCTTAAAAATATAATAAAATTAATTGTATAAAATCAAACACACAAAAAAATATATATGGAGAAGGTCGCGACATAAATTTGACCAGATGATACATGAATCATGATACAATGTGCATATAACTTTATAAAATATTATTTTTAGATACAATTAAAATGCAGATATTTATTTCAATATAAAAAAAGTTTGATTTCTACCTTCACCGGAATTCCTTATGAATATTTATAATTATTTAAATCTATAATATCATTAGCATAGAAGAAAACATTAAAAAAAATTTTATTTGTTGATAAGAGAAAAATAGAAAAAATGGTTGATAAGAGAAAAATAGAAAAAATGGTCTAAATTTAAATTGAATATAAACGAATTCACTATATAGTAAGCTAGACGTATGTTATTCAATATTAACGTGAGCGAGGTGTATGTTATTAGGATTTCAAGAATAACAAATTGGTTTTTGGACTATCAATGTTCTAATTACTAATAGTCATAGAAAGATATTTTCGTGTACACATTTAATATTTTTGTGTATGTAATTAATAAAAATAATAATGGGCTAAGTAATCATAATTAGTGAGTTTAATTAGAGAGTCTAATTGCCATGTCATATTTTATTAATGACATGTCATAATAAAAATGGGAGAATGATTCTAGAGAGGACGTCTAATCTAATCACTTCTCTGTTAATAGG